TAGGGTGAGAGTTTTTTCCCTTCTGCACTTTTAATACATCATGCCCTCTCTCCTGGCCTGTAAGGTTTCCACTGAAATGTCTGCTGCCACATATTTTGACATTCCATTGTATGTTAATTGTTTCTTTTCTCTTGCTGCTTTTAGGATTTTTTCTTTATCCTTGACCTTTGGGAGCTTGATTATTAAATACCTCGAGTTAGTCTTCTTTCAGTTAAATCTTCTTGGTGTTCTATAAACTTCTTGTACTTGGATATTAATAGCTTTTTCTAGGTTTGAGACTTGTCTGTTATTATCTCTTTGAATAAACTTTCTACCCCTATCTCTTTCTTTCTCTACCTCTTCGTTAAGGTCACTAGATTTGGCCCTTAGAGGATATTTTTTAGATCCCATAGGTGTGATTCATTTTTTTTCTTTTGTCTCTTCTAAATATGTACTTTCAAATAGCCTGTCTTCAAGCTCATTATTTTTCCTTCTGCTTGGTCAGTTGTGCTGTTGTGAGACTCTGATGCATTCTTTAGTATGTCAACTGAATTTCTGAGCTCCAGAGTTCCTGCTTAATTTTTAAAAATTATTTTAATTGCTTTGTTAAATATATCTGAGAGAAATCCGCATTCCAACTCTGTGTTATCTTCAATTTCTTTGAGTTTCCTCAATACAGCTATTTTGAATTCTCTGTCTGAAAGAGCATGTATCTCTGTTTATTGGGATTAGCCCCTGGTGGCTTATTTAGTTCACCTGGTGAGGTCATGCTTTCCTGGATAGTGTTGATGCTAGTATATGTTCTTTGGTGTCTGGGTATTGAAGAGTTAAGGATTTATTGTTGTCTTCATTGTCTGAGTTTGTTTGTTCTTTTCCTTCTTGGGAAGGCTTTCCAGATATTTGAAAGTACTTATGTGTTGTGTTCTAATCTGTATCTGCTTTTGTGGGCAACCCAAGCCCAGTAACACAGTGGTTCTTGCAGACTTACAGATGTACTGCCTTGATGGTCTTGGACAAGACCCAGAAAAATTCTTTGGATTACCAGGCAGATGCTTGTTCTTTTCCCTTTCTTTCCTCCACACAGAGTCTCTTTCTGCACTCTGAGCCACTTATAGGTGGGAGTAGAGTGACACAAGCACCACCACCACTATGACTGTGCTGGGTCAGACCTGAGTCCAGTACAGCACTAGGTCTCACCCAAGGCCTGATGTAACCACTCCTTTGTTACTGTCTATGTTCACTCCAAGCCCTGCAGCTCTTTAATCAGAAGGTGGCAAAGCAATCCAGGCCAGGCCTGCATCCTTCCCTTCAGGGCAGTGAGGTCCCTCAGGTCCCAGGTGAGTCCAGAGGTGCCATCCCGGTGTCAGGGACTGAAGTAAAAAACCTTAGACGTCCATCTAGTGTTCTCTTGTACTGCCACTGAGTTGGCATTCAAATCACATGACACAGTCATTATGTAAAGTGAAATAAGCCAAGAAGAGAAAGAGAAACATCACACGTTTTCACTTATTTGTGGGATCTAAAATTCAAAACAATTGAACTTGTAGAGATAGAGAGTAGAAGGATGGTTATCAGAGGCTGAGAAGGGTAGTAGGGGTTTTTGGGGAAAGTGGGGATGATTAATCGATACAAAAATTAGAAAGAAAGAATGAATGAGCCCTAATATTTGATAGCAAAAAATGTTGACTATAATGAATAATAATTTAATTGTACATTTTAAATTAACTAAAAAAGTATAATTGGATTGTTTTAACACAAAGGATAAATGCTTGAGGGTATGGATGACCCATTTTCCATGATGTGACTATTATGTCTTACATGTCTATATCAAAATATCTCATGTACCTCATTACTATATATACCTACTATGTACCCACAAAAATTAAAAATTAAAACAAAAGAAAATTCCTCCAAAGAGTTGTCTATTCCCTGTGTCTCCATACCATGTATTGTCACTCTCTTGTCACACTTCAATCAATCTTTGATTTCAAGCCTCCAACTGAAATCTCTCTCACTAAGGTCACTGATAATCTCTATATTGTTAAATCCTATAGTCAATCCTCAAATCACATTTAGTTTGATCGCTCAGCAACATTTGTGACAATTGATTTTGCCCTCATTCTGGAAATACTTCCCTTGGATTTCATGACAATAATTTCTTCTTATGTTCCTCCTACCTTACTAGCTACTCATTCTCATCTCTTTCACTCGATTCTTTTCCTTCCTGAACTTGAAATGTTGGAATGTGCCAGAGCTGGTCCTTGGACTCATTCTCTATCTATACTTATTCACTAAGTCATTGTACTGAGTCTCACAGCTATATTTACAACTTATAATCTGATGATTTCCAAATTTATATCTCCATCCTTGAAATACATATTTGTAAATCCAACTTTGTAATAGACATTATCACTCACATATCTCAAACTTAACAAACTCTTAATTCCCAGCCCTAGTCCTACCAAACCTGGTCTTCCTCCATTGTCTCCCTTCTTGGTAGATGCTGCCACCACTAACTTTGTTGCTTAGGATAAAATCCTTGGAACGACCCTTGAGTCTCTTTCACTCACATCCAAAATGCAATCCATCACCAAATCTTGTTAGTTTCACCATTAATATATATCCAGAAACTCTGGAACAAGATATTGTAAACTTACTTTTCCATGCTACCATCCTCTAAATTCAAGTAAATACTCTGGAAATTACTGAACAGAAAAAATAAAAGGACTCTGAAATATGGTAAGAAACTATATGAGTTAGCAACCTAAAGATTTGAGGAATAAGAATGCTATGATTTCCCTGAGTTTTCTTTTTACCTCCTAAATATCTCAGACTAGGCATTGGGGACACCTGCAATCCAGAATTGCCAACAGGCATAAACAACAAAAACAAAAACAAAAACAAACTTAACCTTGCTTTCTCTGATCTATGTTCTGATAAAAAGCCCAACAGAGACCTAGCGGACAGCCCCAACTCCTGTTCTACAACCAAAGTACCTGAGAATAACCTGATTTGCACAGAGAGGCAGCTGCAAAGCTCCTGGACAATCCAGCTTCCACCCACAACGAGGTCATCAGCAGGTGACCTGATCTGCCCATATAAGTAGTTTCAGAACCCTGATGGGCCATCTTAACTCCTGATACACAACTGGGACACTGACAGCTCACAGGAGTAGCAGTGAAGCTCCAGCAGTCCAACCCAACACCTGTAGTGCTCAACACCTGTAGTGCTTGCAGGCTAAACACCTGTAGTGCTTGCAGGCTGGTCTACCTGCAGTGGAAGCAGAGAAGGGCTGGTCCACCCAATTTCCATTCCAAACCCAGGGCACCATCATCTCTTAGTCCTCTATTAATTGGCACAAGAAGACTCAGTCCCAGTAGCTTCTGCCTCAACCCCTACAGGATAACGTGGCTCAATGACACCAGGTGGCCCAGCAGAGTGCTTTGTGCCATGGCAGATGGCACTAATAGGGAATAAATGGAAACTGAAGCACCATCGGAAGGACAAAATACATCAGAATGGTTCTGAAAACTAAATTGTCATTAGACCTAAAACCCACAAAAATAGGTCAGAACCTATATTCTAAACCTAAACAGGATCACTGCTTGCTAAAATAGATTTAAGAATCAAGAAATTCCTAAAATAGTAACCAAAATATCCGTGATAAAATGGAAAATAATTCCTTATGCAAAGAACTAGGAAAACTACAATTTGACTGAGAAAACATAATTAACTGATATTAATACCAATATTATTCTGAAGTTGGAGTCAACTGATAAGAAAATTAAAACCGCTCTCATAAAAATGCTTCAACAAGTAATTAAAAATATCTTTAAACAAATGCAAACAGAATATCTCAACAAAAATAAAGGAGTTATTTATTTTTTAAAAAGAACCAAATGTAAATTATAAAATTAAAAAATAAAAATAGCCAAAATAAAATTTAAAACTCATCAGATGGACTCAATACTAGATTAGAGGTGAGGAACAGAATCAGTGAAGCTAAAGACATATCAACAAAACTTATTCAATCCAAACAAAGAGAAAGTATCATGAAAAAGAAACAAAAAGAAGAGAGCCTCAGGGATCTGTGGAATAATAACAAAAGACAGGACCACTGTCTGTTATTATCAGAATCCCAGTAGGAGATGAGAAAGAATGTGGGGCTGAAATAGTAGTTAAATAATAACAAGAAACAGGGGTAACAAGCCAGGCATGGTGGCTCATTCCTGTAATCCCAGTGTTTTGGAAGATTGACATGGAAGAATTGCTTGAGGCCAGGAGTTTGAGACCAGCCTGGGCAACATGTTGAGACCTGATACCTACAAAAATGAAACAAAAATCAGCCAGGCATGATGGCACATGCCTGTAGTCTTAGCTACAGGGCCACATGAGGCCAGGAGTTCAAGGCTGCAGTGAGCTCTGATCACGCCACTGCACTCCAGCAGCCTAGGTGACAGAGCAAGACCCTGAAAAAAGAGAGAGAAGAAAGAAAGAAAAGAAAGAAAAGACGAAAAAGAAAGAAAGAAAGAAAGAAAGAAAGAAAGAAAGAAAGAAAGAAAGAAAGAGAAAAGAAAGAGAAGGAGGAGAGAGAAAGGAGGAAAGGAAGAAAGGAGGAAGGAAGGAAGGAAGGGAAGGAAGGAAGGAAGGAAGGGAAGGAAGGAAGGAAGGAAGGAAGGAAGAGGAAGGAAGGAAGGAAGGAAGGAAGGAAGGAAGGAAGGAAGGAAGGAAGGAAGGGAGGGAGGGAGGGAGGGAGGGAGGGAGGGAGGGAAAAAAGAGAAGAAGAAACAAAAGCAACAAAAAGAAAACAAATAATAAAATAGAGACTGGTGATGTCAGGAAGATGGCAAAATAGAAAGTCAGAAAACTTCTTCCCCCAAAGGAGACACCAATTCAACAAGCAAAAATACACAGATCAATTCCCTTCAAGAGAAATCCAGAAACTAGTTAAAAGGCTCCTGCATCACAGACAAGCTAAAACTAGCCACACTGAAGCTGGTAGGAAAATTAATGGTACTCACTCGCCATGGTCTCTCTGCCCAGCTTAGTATAGCATGATCAGCAGAAAACTCCCAATTCTTGGCTTCTTCCTAGAGAGAAAAAGAAGAAGGCTGAAACATATGTCCAATATGAAGACTTTTTCAGGGGAAGGCTGAGGAAATAATTTCTGTCTTCCCTGTATCTGGAGACTCGTGAAAAAGTGTGCTAGGTTGAAGGCTACTGAGAACAAGGGCAAAAGTTTAGACAAAAAGCACTCACTCACCATACTCCCTCCTCCCAGCTCAGCATAGAATGAGAGGGTGAAACTCCCAACTCTCAGCTTCTCTCTAGGAAGGGAAAAAGTTGTGGCATGTGTCCCACATTCTGTCTTTTTGGGGGGACTGCTCGAGAAATGGGTTTCTGTCTCATCGCTCTCAGAAGGCGGACAGGGCTGGCATACTCTAGATGTCTGGGGGATGCTGAAAACAAAAGAGATGTAAGTGATTTGCTGCTATTCCACAGGACATGCAGTAGAGAAGACAGATGTTAACACAGCTCAAAGGCTTCTCCTTCAGGGAGGGGAGACAGAAGAGTAAAGTGTGTGTTCAACATTATAGCTTTTTGGGGTCTGACCAAGAAACTTGTTTTACTTTAAAACAGACTTTAATTTATTTTACTAGATAAAAAGCACTGATATGGTTCAGTACACTCTAGAAGCCTGGGGGAAACTAAGAACTAAAGGGAGATGTGAACTAATAAATCTCTTTAATTAAAAATTTGCATATACAAGTCCAGAGAAGAAATATACACATAAAATGTCTGAAAGGACCCTCTAATTAGGCTGATTTGTGAAGGTCTTTCCTTGCACAAAGCCAGCCTATAAAGATTTGGAGAGGTGGTCATTTTCTTAAATGCATGGATCCAACATAAAGGTACAAAGTAAACAAGGAAACAAGAAAACATGGCACAAAGCCAAAACAACAAACTAAGTCTCCAGGAACTGACCCTAAAGTAAAGGAGATATATGAATTATTTTACAAACAATTCAAATATCCATCATAAAGATGCTCAACAAGCTCAGAATATGATACATAAATAAAATGAAAATAACAAATCAACTGAAAACATAAAAGGAGCCCAACAGAAAATTACGAGCTAAAGAATACAATAAGTGAACTGAAAAAATCACTAGACAGTTTGAATATCACACTTGATCAACCAGAAGAAGGAAGCCGCAAACTTGAATACAGGTAATTTGAAATTATTAGTCAGAGAAACAAAAATAATAAAAAAGAAGTGCAGAAAGTCTAAAAGGACTTATGGGACACAATCAAGTGGATCAATATATGCATTATGATATTAAAAGAAAAAGAAGAGACATAAAGGGACAAACATTTATTTAAAGAAACAATGGCCTAAATATCCAAAATCTGGGAAAGAATATGGACATCTAGACTCAAGAAGCCCAACAGAACCCAACTAATAGGAAACCAAAGGACTTCAAACTGACAACATTATGGCTAAATTGTCAAATGTCAAAGACAAAGAGAAAATTTTTAAAGAAGAAGTGACTCATGACATATAAGAGAGTCCCATAAAACTATCAGTAGATTTATCAGCAGAAACCTTGCAGGTTAGAAAAGAACGATGTGATAGATTTGAAGTAATAATAATAAAAAAACTATTAACTAACAATATTATATCCAGAAAAACTGTCTTTCTAAATAGAAAGAGAAATGATTTCCCATATAAACAAAAGCAGAGAGAGTTCATCACCACTAGATGTGCCTTACGAAAAAATGCTAAAGTGAGTCCTTAGAAGCTGATATGAAAGGATAATAGAAAACAGCACAAAGACAAATGAAAGTATAACTTCCACTGCTAAAAGTAAACATATGGACAAACCAAAATATTATAATACTGTAGAAGCTAGGCAAGATGGCTGACTAGATGCATCCAGGTGAACCAGCTGCCACTGAGGGACTGGGACAACTGGTGCACTCCTAATAGATCTTCAGAGGTATGGCACTAAGAGTGGATGGAGGAAAGACCAGAAGCTTGGCTGGAGGAGGAGGAAGCTGGAAACCCTGCACAGGGCGACAGTGCACCAGGACTTGTTCTTGGCCTCTGACAACTCTGGGAGAATGGGTGAGTTGAACTGGCAAGAAGCAACATGCTCTAAAATGGGCTTCTGGAATTCTGGCAGGAGGAGACTCCCTCCCACCATGGACACTTGAGTTGACAGGGAAAGCCATTAGAGAAGTGGTAGGGGCAGCACTCCAGCTGGTGTAGAGCCCAGAGGGTTTGATGTGGGAATGTCTATAGTGAAGTGCAGCCAGGGATGGCCATCTTCCTAGGCTCAACTTGCTTTCATAGGAAACTTTAGTCCTAGGGGAACTGTCCATACCTGAACTCTATAGAATTTTCTTGCCCATTACACAAAACTGGTCCAATCTGAACACCCCTTGGTCTGCTGGCCTCTCCCAGGGCCTCAGCCTGGCTGGACTTGCTTGCAGTGTGACTTCAGGTGCCCTGGGGGCCTAAATTGTAGCTCTTGCACTGGTGAACCATGCCTGACCAGAAAAGAGTTCCAGCAGAGTGACCCCCACCGACACATAACAGCCTGTCCCCTCCCACATTCCACTGCAGCTTCCCACGAGAGCATGGACACCTCCCCCCCTGCCATTGCTTTGCCACTATGCATGTGCATGGACAGACTTTGCCTTCTCTGTCCCACCATTGTGTGTGTGTGTGTGTGTGTGTGTGTGTGCGCGCGCGCGCGCGCGCGCACGCATGCGTGTGGGTGTGCATGTGTGTGTGTATGTGTGTGTGTGTACGTATACCTTGCACTGCCACTGCTGCCAGTGTGATTGCATTATTCCTCCCATCCCCCAACCATATGGCCATTGCAGTCAGAGTCTTTGCAGGCACAGAGCCTGTTAGCACCACTCCTGTCAGCATCTTGCCTCTGGGCTAACACTGCCACTGGAGTAAAACTAGGCTTAGAAAACAAATGACACTCTGCCACCCTGAGAGGCCACCTCTACCTGTGTGAATGTGCACAGGGGGCACACACAGTATTGCTTCTGCCAACACCCCACCTCTGTGCTGACAACAACACTGGCATGATGAGGTGCACTGTAACAAGTAGGGGTCCCCCCAGTGCCCAAGCCATGCTACCTCCTCTGCCTCTGCAAACACCCATATGGAGGCCTGCACCCTGGCACCTGCTAATGCCCTGTGGTAGCCAATAAGCATGTTGCTGCTGCCACTGCTGCTAGGACATGTGAACAAGAACAGATCTCACTGCCACAGCCCCATGAAATTCTTTGGCTGCCGCCACCCATCAGAGTGAGCCCTGCCCCCTAATATCTTCAGAAACAAAGCAAGTTGACTGTACCCACCAAATACCACAAACTATCAAGGTCATCAAATAGGATAAGAGAAAAACAATTCATCCACAGGACAGCAACCTCAAAGAATAAAGGAACATCAGCCCATAAAGATGAGAAAGAACCAGCACAAGAAACGTGACAGCTCAAAAAGCCAGAGTGCTTTCTTTCCTACAAATTATCACAATAGCCTTCTAGCAAGGTTTCTGAACCAGGCCGAGATGGCTGAAATTACAGAAACAACATTAGAAATGTGCACTGGAATGTTACAGAAACTGACAGGCAAAATAGCCAGCATAAAAAACAATATAACTAATCTGATAGAGCTGAAAACACACGCTACAAAAATTTCATAATGCAATCACAAGAATTAATAGCAGAATGGACCAAGAGGAAGAAAGAATCAGAGCTTGAAGACTGCCTTTCTGAAATAAGATAGTCAGAAAAGAATAAAGAAAAAAGAATGAAAATGAATGAACAAAACTTATGAGAAATACGAGATTATGTAAAGAGACCAAATCCATAACCCATTGGTGTCCCTGAGATGAAGAGAATGGAAGCAACTGGGAAATTATATTTCAAGATATCATCCATGAGAACTTTCCCAACTTAGCTAGGGAGGCCAATATTCAAATTCAGGAAATGCAGAGATCCCACACAAGATAATTCACAAGAAGATCATCATCAAGACACATACCCATGAGATTCTCCAAGGTCAAAATGAAGGAAAAAATGTTAAAGGCAGCTAGAGAGAAAGGTCAGGTCACATACAAAGAGAATCCCATCAGACTAACAGTGGACCTCTCAGCAGGAACCCTACAAGCCAGAAGAAAATTGGGAGCCAATATTCAACATTCTTAAAGAAAAGAAATGTCAATCAAAATTTTCATATCCAGCAAAACTAAGCTTTATATGCAAACAAGAAAAAGATCCTTTCCAGAAAAGCAAATGCTTAGGGAATTTGTTACCACCAGACCTGCCTTACAAGAGCACCTGAAGGAAACACTACAAATCAAAAGGAAAGATCATTACAAGCCACTTCAAGAACACACTTAAGTACATAGACCAGTGACAACAAAAAGCAACCACAAAAACAAGTCTATATAATAACTAGCTAACATAATGACAGGAGAAAATCCACACATAACAATATCAACCTTGAATGGAAATGGGCTAAATTCCCCAACTAAAAGGCACAGGCAGGCTGGATAAAGAGGCAAGGCCCAATGGTATGTTGTTTTCAAGAGATCCATCTTCCATACAATGACACCCATAGGCTCAAAATAAAGGATGGAGAAAAATCTACCAAGAAAATGAAAAACAGAAAAAAAAGCAGAGGTTGCAATTCTAATTTCAGAGAAAACAGATTTCAAATCAACAAAGATCAAAAAGGACAAAGAAAGGCATTATATAATGGTAAAGGGTCCAATTTAACAAGAAGATCTAACTATCCTAAATCTACATGCACCCAACACAGGTGCATTCACATTCATAAAGCAAGTTCCTTGAGGCCTATGAAGAGACTTTGTTTCACACCCAATAATAGTGGGAGACTTCAACACCCCACTGCCAATATGAAAAAAAAATCATTGAGGTTAAAAAAATCACAAAATTTCAGGACTTGAACTCAACACTTGACCAAATGGACCTAAAACACATTTACAGAACTCTCTACCAAAAGACAACAGAGTATACATTCTTTTCATTGCCACATGATAAATACTTTAAAATCAACCATGCAATTGGACATAAGACAACCCTCAGCAAACTCAAAAAAAAAAAAAAAAATACAGAAATCAAACCAACCACACTCTTGGACCACAATGCAATAAAAATAGAAATCAAGGCAAAGGAAATTGCTCAAAATCATACAATTATATAGAACTTAGACAAGTGACTCCTGAACCACTCTTGGGTAAATAATCAAATTAAAGAAGACATCAAGAAATTCTTTGAAACTGATGAGAACAAAGACACAACAAGCCAGAATCTCTGGGACACAGCTAAGGCAGTGTTAAGAAGGAAATTTATAGCACTAAACACCACATCAAAAAGTGAAAAAGATCTCAAATTAACAACCTAACATCACAATTACAAGAATTACAGATGCAAGAGAAAACCAATTGCAAAGCTAGCAGAAGACAAGAAATAACCAAAATCAGAGATGAAATAAAGGAGATTGAGACACAAAAAAACATACAAAACATCGATGATCCCAAGGGTTGAAGAAACTAGACCAACCAGTAGCTACATTAATAAAGAAAAAAAGAAAAGATCCAAATAAATACAATCAGAAATGGCAAAGGGAACTTTACCATTGACCTCACAGAAATAAAAATATCCATTAGGGGCTACTATGAACAACTCTATGCACATAAACTAGACACTCTAGAAGAAAACGATAAATTACTGAACACATACAAACTCACAAGACTGAAAATAAAAAAGACATTGAATCCCTGAAAGACCAATGAGCTCTGAAATTTAATTAGTAATAAATAGCCTACAAACAAACAAACAGAAAGCCCTAATTCACAGTCGAGTTCTATGAGATGTACCAAAAAAAAAAAAAAAAAAAAAAAAAAAACTGTACCACTCCCACAAAAGCTGTTCCAAAAACTAAGAACGTGAGACTCATCCCCAACTCATTATATGAGGCCAGCATCATCCTGATGCCAAAACCTGGCAGAGACACAAAAAATAAAACTTCAGGCCAATATCCTTCATGAACATAGATGCAAAAATCTTCAACACAATACAGGCAAACTGTATTCTGAATCCAGCAGCACATCAAAAAGTGAATCCATCATGATCAAGTAGGCTTCATCCCTGGGATACAAGGTTGGTTCAACACATGTAAATCAATTCATGCAATTCATCACATTAAAAGAACTAAGGACAAACATCATATGCTTATCTGAATAGATGAAGAAAAGGCTTTCAATAAAATTCAATATCGCTTTATGTTAAAAACTCTCATTAAAGCAGGAGGACACAGGCCTGGCTTGCTTTGCCACCTGTTGACTTCAGAACCCCAGGGCCTTCAGGAAACTCAAAGAAAATCAAGATAACACAGAGAAGGAATTCAGAATTCTATCAGATATATTTAACAGAGATTGAAATAATTAAGGATAATCAAATGGAAATTCTGGAGCTGTAAAATGCAATTGGCATACTGAAGAAAGCATCAAAGTTCTTCAGTAGCAGAACTGAAGGATTAGTGATTAGAAGAAAGAATTAGTAAGCTTGGACACAGGTTATTTTAAAATACACATTGAGAGAACACAAAAGAAAAAAGAATAAAAAATGATGAAACACACCTACAAGATCTAGAAAATATCCTCAAAGGGGTAAATCTAAGAGTTATTGGCCTTAAAGAGGAGGTGGAAAAAAAGACAGGGGAAGAAAGTTGATTCATAGGGATAATAACAGAGAACCTCCCAAACCTAAAAAAAAGATATTGTCATCTAAATACAAGAAGTTTATGCAACACCACGCAGATTTAACCCAAAGAAGACTATCTCAAGGCATTTAATAATCAAACTCCCAAAGGTAAAAGAAAAGATAAAGAAAAATTCCTAAAAGCACAAGAGAAAAGAAACAAATAATATACAATGGCGTTCCAATACATCTGACAGCAGACTTCTCAGGGGAAACCTTACAGGTCAGGAGAGAGTAGCAAGATATATTTAACATACTTAAGGAAAAAAAAAGTTTATCTTAGAATAGTATATCTGGCCAAAATATCCTTCAAGCATAAAGAAGAAAAGAATACTTTCCCAGAAAAACAAAAGATGAGAGGTTTCATCAACACAAGACATTCTCCAAGAAATGTTAAAGGGAATACTTCAACTAGAAAGAAAAAGATGCTAATTAGCAATAAATAATCATCTGAAGGTACAAAATTCGCTGGTAATATTAAGTGTACAGAAAAACACAGACACTGTCACTGTGGTATACAAACTACTCTTATACTAAGTAGAAAGAATGAACGATGAACCAATTGAAAGTAATAACTTCAACAACTTTTAAGACAGACAGTACAATAAGATATCAATAGAAGCAGCATAAAGTTAAAACGCAAGGGGACAAAGTTAAGACATAGAGTTTTTGTTAGTTTCCTTTTTGCTTGTTTGTTTTTTTTTTTATGCAGAGTGTTAAGAAGTATAAGGTTAAAATAATGAATTATACGATAATATTTCCAAGCCTCATGGTAACCTCAAACCAAAAATCATACAATGGATACACAAAAAATAAAAAGCAACAAAGTAAGTCATATCACCAGAGAAAAGAACCTTCACTAAAGGAAGACAGGAAGCAAAGAAGCAAGAGAAGACCAGAAAACAACCAGAAAACAACAAAATGGCAGGAGTTCTTACTTATCAGTAATAACATTGAATGTAAAGGGACAAAACTCTCCAATTAAAAGAAATAACCTAGCTGAATGAGTAAAAAAAAAAAAAGACACACTGATCTGTTCACAAAACAAGTCTTAAAAGACACACACACACACACACACACACATACACAAAGTAATATCAAGCATCTTCTCTGATCACAGTGGAAAACTAGAAATCAATAACGAGAAATTTTGGAAATTACACAAATAAATGGAAATTAAACAAGGCCACTGAATGACCAGTGGTCAATGAAGAAATTAAGAAAAAAATGAAAAATGTCTTGAAACAAATGATAATGGAACATAACATACCAAAACTTAAGGGATACAGCAAAAGCAATACCAAGAGGTAAGTTCATAGTACAAATGCTTACATCAAAAAAGAGAATAAACTTCAAATGAACATTCCAATGATGCATCATAAAGAACTACAAAAGCAAGTGCAAACCAAATGCCAATTAGTAGAAGAAAGGAAACAATGAAGATCAGAGTAGAAATGAATGCAATTGAAATAAAAAAAAAAAAAGATCAATGAAACAAAAAGTTGATTTTTTGAAAAATTAAACAAAATTGAAAAACCTTTAGCCAGACTAAGAAAAAAAGAGTGAAAATACAAATAAATAAAATCAGAAATGGGATCTGGCAAGACGGCAGAATAGGAACAGCTGCGGTCTGCAGCTCCCAGTGAGACCAACGCAGAAGGAGGGTGATTTCTTCATTCCAACTGAGGTACATGGTTCATCTCATTGGGACTGGTTAGACAGCGGGTGCAGCCCACAGAGGGTGAGCAGAAGTAGGGTAGGGCCTCACCTCACCTAGGAAGCTCAAGTGCTGGTGAACTCCCTCCCTAGGAAACGGAAGCTGTGAGAGACTGGGCTGTGAAGAATGGTGCTATCCAGCCCAGATACTACACTTTTCCCACGGTTTTCACAACCTGCAGACCAGGAGATTGCCTCGGGTGCCTACACCACCAGAAACCTGGGTTTCAAGCACAAAATGGGGCGGCTGTTTGGGCAGACACTGAGTTAGCTGCAGAAGTTTCTTTTTTAACACAGTGGCCCCTGGAACCCCAGCGAGACAGAACAATTCACTCTGGAAAGGGGGCTGAAGCCAGGGAGCCAAGTGGTCTTGCTCAGTGGGTTGCACCCCCACAGAGCCAAGCAAGCTATGATCCACTAGCTTGAAATTCTTGCTGCCAGCAGAGCAGTCTGAAGTCGACCTGGAACAATGGAGTTCGGTTGGGGGAGGGGCATCTGCCATTACTGAGGATGGAGTAGGTGGTTTTCCCCTCACAGTGTAAACAGAGCCACCAGGAGGTTCAGACTGGGTGGAGCCCACCGCAGGGCAGCAAAGCGGCTGTAGCCAGACTGCCT